CTGTGAATAAAATATAGAATAAATGTTGAACTACAGTTTCATTATCATATGGAAGAGGGATTATATAATATTTCCTGCCTTTGACGGTTTTGCTAGAAAAAATGTTAATTTTGTTAAACGTAAAATTTATATCTTCTTCAAAAATATCGTCCATTATTTTGTTATGCAAATCATCAAGTTTTGATTGCCAAAAGAAAGTGACAATATCTTTGTGGTTTTTGTCGAGAAGTTGCGAATTAGAGGTTTCTATTTTGGAATAATCTATAAGGGATGTGGTTTTGTGAAGGTATGCGAAGTTGTTGTATTCTTCTGTAACTTCCGCTGTGTCGTCTTCGATATCTGAATTATTAGAATTGTCAACGTGAACGATTTCTTCTTTACTAGTGGATGGTCGGTTGTGAATGTCATCGTTATTAGATGCAAGGATAAAAATTTTCTTTTGGAGATCGACACAATCTTGAATATGGTTAATTTTAACACGGGATAAAGCGTCTGCGTTTTTATTTATTTTACCGGGCTTATACACAATGGTATAGTCGTATTCTTCAAGCTTAAGACGCCATCGAGCTAAACGACTACCAGGATCATTTATCGAAAATAGCCAAGTTAAAGGACGATGATCAGTAACGAGAGTAAATTTTCTTCCGAACAGATAAGGGCGGAAGTGTTTAACTGCCCATACTATGGCGAGAAGTTCCCGTTCTATAGTTGAATATTTCGTCTCTGCACTACATAGAGTTCTAGAGGCATATGCTATGGGAAGGTCTTTTCCAATGGGACCTTGTGAAAGAACTGCACCAATGGCAAATGCACTGGCATCGGTGGTTAGGACAAAAGTTTCCTCGAAATTTGGATAAATGAGTATTGGGTCACGTATTAGAGCGTTTTTAAGCTCATTAAATGAATTTTTGCATTCTGAATTGAATACGAAGGGTGTGTCTTTTTGGAGAAGTCTAGTTAAAGGTTTTGAGATCTTAGCGAAATTGGGAATAAAACGTCGGTAGTAACCGACTAAACCAAGGAAGGATTTAATGTCTTTTGGTGATTTTGGTTCTGAAATTTTTTGAATAGCGTCTATTTTCTCAGGGTTGGGTTTGACTCCATCTGGGGTCACGAGATGCCCTAAATAAGCTACTTCCTTTCGAAGAAATTCACACTTGTCAGGTTGGAGTTTGAGGTTTGCACCACGAAGGCGTTTGAAGACATCAGTTAACCTTTGTATATGTTCGTGTATGGTAGCGGAATAAACGATAATATCGTCCATGTAAACGAGACATCGTTCGTTTTGAAGACCTAAGAGAATGTTGTCCATGACACGTTGGAAAGTGGATGGAGAATTTTTAGTCCGAAGGGTAAACGGAGAAATTCAAAATGACCATTTTCAACTGAAAATGCAGTTTTAGCAACGTCCTTGGGATCAATTTCAATTTGGTGAAACCCAGAGGCTAGGTCCAAAGTAGTGAAATATTGACATCTGCCTAACTGGTCTAAGAGATCCGAAATATTGGGAAGAGGGTATTTATCGTCGACAGAGACTTCATTTAGTTTGCGATAGTCGATGACTACGCGCCATTTTTGTTTCATAGAAGCGTCTAATTTTTTTGGGACAACCCAAACAGGGGAAGACCATGGAGAAGTGGAAGATCGAATGATTCCTTGTTCGAGCATTTTGTTGATTTGTGACTTTACTTCTTGTTTGTGGACATGTGGGTACCTATATGATTTGGTAAAAATCGGTCTGGCGTTGTTCGTTTCAATAGTATGTTTAATTTCATTAGTAAAACTTAAATGATCTCCTTCTAAATAGAATATATCAGAAAAATCAAGACATAATTGTGTTATTAATTCTTTTTCTTCTTCGTTTAAATGATCGGTGCGTAACTGGGATTGAATTATACCGCGCCTATCAACAGGTTGAGGATTTAAATTGAAAATATTATTTATTTCTTTTTCGTTAGGATTTGTATTAAAAGGTTCGATAGATAAATTTGAAAAATCTATAGTTTTTGGGATTGCATTAGCGTTAATAACAGTAGTAAAAAATTCACCTTTGTTATTTACTTTAACTAAAGCATTAGGTAACCTAACTTTTTCACATTCTTGAGAGTGGAGAATAGCGTCTGTGTTTGTTAAACTACATTTTAATTTGAAAATTCTTTCGGTCCTAGGTTCGATTGAAATTCGATTTTGAATATTTTGTTCAGGTTTTTTACAAATTTTGGGAAGAACAGATTCGTGTCCTACCTTATGCAAAGGCATTGTTTTAAAATTCGTTATAAGTTTTTTGGACTTTAAATCGATTATACATTGGTAGCGATCAAGAAAATCTAAACCGAGAATTCCGTCAAATTCGATGTCAAGATCGTAAAGATAGACTTTATGTTTGTCGTTATCGGTGAATGGAATAAGTGTGGATTCTTTAATAAAAAGTGTTTGATTTGTTATACCTTGGATGGTAATATTTTCCTTAACTCGTGTTATGTAATTTTCAGCGGTTTTATATTTAAAGATAGAAATACCTGCGCCTGTATCTATTAATATTTTGAATTTTTGCGTAGCGTCAAAAATATAGTATAAATTTTTAGAATTTACCGTAAGAAGAGGGTTTAACAGAAGTTCTGTTCTGGAAAGTTTAGATTGGGATTCATGTTGTCTAAATTCAGGGTTTGAATTTGGGTATTGATTTCGAAAATCGGGTCTGGAGACATTTCGTCTGGTGGGATATCGTAAGGGCTTTCTTGAAAATCCTGCTCTGGTTCGCAGTTTTCTGGATGGTTAGAATAATGATTTTGAAATTCATTATCTTCTTGAAGAGTGTAATTTTCATGTGAAAATTCCTGGGAATTTCCGGAATAACCGTCGATGTAGATCGGGTTTGAGTTTACATGATGAGTTCGCTGCGGGTTTGGATTCATAAAATGTGGCTTAGGATAAGAGTTTGAAGATTTTATCGGTATTTGATTCGAATTGTTGCTAATGTTGTTTTGTTGGAACCAATTAGAAGGTCGCTGTGGATATTGCGAAAAATTTGGTTTGACATGCTGATGCGTACTTCTACATTGATTTGAAGTATGGCCAATTTTATTACACAAAGTGCATTTGGGTTGCTGAAGAGGGGTTCGAATATTCGCAGAGTGCGATTTAGGAGAATTTAATTTAACAGATTTTTGATTTTCAAAATATGAGAGTTGGAGTTCTCGACGAATCCTTGCTTGGGCTTCTAAAAGTGAAGTGGGATTACTAGCACGAATGAGTTGACCTAATCTAGGTTCTAAACCTGTAAGAAGTGTATTAAGGGTCATAGTCTCAATTAAAGATATCTGAGCATCCTTTTGCTCTTTGGATCCTAATGTGGTGGATTTTTGAACACATGAATGCATTTTCGCATTTAGGACTTGAAGACGATTGAAAAATGTTAATGCTGATTCATTGGGCAATTGTTTAAGACGTTGAAGGTCATGAATTAGGGAAGGTAAATCTCTAGAATCACCAAAGTGTAGAGTTAATAGTTTCTTTATTTCTAGATAGGAATCAGGATTCCTAGAATTAATTAATTGAGCTGCTTTACCGCGGAGCTTATTTTTAATGTGAATCACTAAAAGAATTTTTTGTTGCGTCGTTGCCATATTATAAGCACAATCACACGCGTTTATAAAATTTCCTAAAAAGATTTGGTCGCCCTCAAATTCAGGTACGATACAGAAAATTTCCGAAAGTTTATATGGTTCAACTTCCAGCATTGTACTAGGTTCGTCTGATTGAGTTGCCATTATTTTAGGTTTTAAGAAAAAGCAAATAAATTTATAAGAAGTTCAAACACAATTATTTTTTGTTTTAAATATTGCCAAGTTAAACTTGGAGACTAAAATTTAATCAAAATAATTATCGCGGAACGATTCTACGTTGGGAAATTCAATAAATAGGTAATTTTCAACCTTGGGTAATCGAACGTAATAAATTCAACAATGTTGCAAATTAAAAATAAAATTATTCGTAACGATTCTTAACACTTACAGTACTATTTTCATTGCTGCCTTTCGAGACGGTTGATGGGTTTATCCTTGTTCCGGTACGATGGGCTGTCTTCGTTGTTCCCTAGATTTAGGGGTCGGAATCTGCCGCCACTAGTTAGAATACTCGTGTTCTAGCAACGTGAACGGATCCTACTCCGAATTCTTGCCTCTCGAAACGGTGATGGAAGGTTCCTTGTTCCGGCACGACTGGGCTGCGATGGTTCTTCTTTCCGTCTAAGGGATTGGAATCCGCCGTCACTAGTTAGAATACTCGTGTTCTAGCAACGTGAACGGATCCTACTGACTGCGCCAATTTTTATATTTCACTTTTCAAAAATAACTTTTTAAAAAAATATATTAATTAACTTTAAATTAAAATAAAAATCAAAATGAAATTGGACGTAATAACCTCGTGACGAGAGAATGTTATTAGACCGTTAAAATCAAACTAAAAATGGACATAATAACCTCGTGATGAGAGAATGTTATCAGACAACGTTTTACAATAGAAATTAGTATTTATAATAAATTTATGCTGACGTTGACGGGGTCGACGGCTGCGGATGTTGCGACATATCGTTGACACGACGTTTTCGCAATCGTTGCACTCTTGCAGGTCGGTGGCATTTAACCCATATGGACAATAGGATTTCCGGATATAACATATATATATATATATATATATATATATATATATATATATATATATATATATATATATATATATATATATATATATATATATATATATATATATATATATATATATATATATATATATATATATATATATATGCATGAAAACCAAAACTACAGCGTTCGAGAAAGAAACTGTACTATAGTGTGACCAAAAGCCCTTTGCTTCACGTGTAGTCCTGTGGAACTGAACCAACTAGCAAACACTAGGCGCGATGTGACAAAGGCCTTTCGGCTTTTCTTTCGCGTAATTTTTAAAACGTCCGCCACAGCAATATTATTGAATCCTACCCGGGATACAACGAATTGAGGACGATCTTGTCGATATTTCGTTTTTGCTCGCCTACGTTGTTGTCACTCAAATTGACGATTCCTGCAACCACCGTGTATAGGTCTGTCTGCGCAGGATCCACAAAGCAATGGGCTGCGCTGACGATATACTCCGGCGAAATAATACTTCCCGCGCAGTAATGAATGATGAAACCTGCGGTGTTCTTTTGAATGGAAACTTCGTAGGGAAATTGACCTAATTGGGCGTCCTCGCCATCGGCGACCCGCCCTCCGGGAATGACGGGATTCGCTAAACAAAGCTCACGTGTTAGCAACTCAATATTTTTTTCTTGGTCTAAGATACGAGGGCGGGATGAAAAGTTTCCGGCCTGACCAAGCGGTGGCGCCAACAGGCCTACTTTTAGAGGGGCCTCCTACATTACCATGTTTATTTAAAAACTTCTACACCAAATCAAATTAAAGAAGAGATGGATTCAACTCTAGGAGACTTTTCCCCATCATATTTTAGTTTTAGTTTACCATAGTTTTGGAAGACCTCAGGTTGAAAGTGCATGAAATAGCTGAGACCTGGAGGATGTCAGCTGAACCTGTACGAAATATTTTGCACAATTACAAGAGCATGAAAAAGCTGTGTGCAAGGAGGATGCCGCGTTTGCTAACGCTCGACCAAAAACTGAACAAAACATCTCTACCGACAATTTGGCGCTAAGTGTAATCCAAACTAATTGTTGAGTAGATTCGTAACTGTGGAGTCCATTACTACTTTCCTGAAAATAAGGAACAGTCCAAACAGTGGATCGCAAAAGGGGAACCAACTCCAAAGAAGGCTAAAATAATTTTATCTTCAAACAAGTTTATGGTTACTGTTTTTTGGAATGCTAGAGGAATATTGAAAAGGGTAAGACCATCACTGGTCAATACTACGTAAAGTTATTTGGTGAAGAAAAATTGCTGTTTTATCACGATCACGCACCAGCGCATTGAAATCAAGTTTGAATTGATGCCGTACCGGCTTCCTAATCTCAAAAAATGGCTTGGCGGTAAAAGATTCAAGAGCAACGACGAAGTTATCGAAGCTGTAAATCAGAATTTTGAGGAGGAGCTTGACGAATCTACGTTTAAAACTGGTACAACTAAATTAGGACCAGTGATTCATTAATTAATTAAGATCAGTGTGGATGGAGAATATGTTGAAAAATAAAGCAAAAAAAAATTAGACACATCGTTTTTCTTGGTCAAGCCGGAAACTTTTCACTCCATCCTCGTAGATAAAAAAATATAAAATAAATAAAAATAATACATATAAATAAAAAAAATAAAAATAAATAAAATAAAATAAATTAAAATATACAGACTTCCCCCCATTGTTGTGTAGGCTTTGCATGTTTTTATTTTTTCGACGTATTAGTTTTTGGTTTAATTTTTACAAGTTTTGATATCTATTTTCTATTAAATGACCTTCACAATTTCTAAGCGTTTCGATTTTCGATTTGGTTTTTAATAAATAAAGTGAAGAAATGATAAATAATAATAACTGGAACTACGTCTTAAATAAAACTAAAATTCAACGCAAGTATTTGAAAAACTTATATCAAATTCGAAATTAATTAAAGCCCACATTTACAATTTTCAAAAATTAAGAAAACTTAGATCAAATTCGGAAATAGGGTCTTTACAAAAAGCTCATAGTTACAACTTTAAAAACTAAAAAAAGCGCTTAAGAAAACAAAAAATAATTTTATTTGTTACTTTTTCTCACCTGTTGCGGTAATTGCTAGGATTCCAATGAGTGTAAAAATTAAAGGCAACATTTTGTCCGGGCGCCGAATGCGAAACAACCAACAAATAAGTTCTATCTGTCGTTAGTATTTGTCGAATAGGCTTATTAAATGATTATCTCCTTGCAATGGAAGATAAATCTCAATTCTAAGTGGCTGATAAAATCCTGTGAAATGTGTAACAAATATTTTTGTGAAGCTTGTTGTATTCCATATTATGCAACCCTGGTCCAACCTGATGGGAAAAACATTTTTACACCCACACTTGGACAATTTGTTTTTGACATTTTCGATGTATAGAACTTTAAGTTGCAATAAAACAACGATAATCTTGTGGCATTACATTTTAAATATGATTTCTGGCATATGACCGCCACGGCTGGCGCGGATGTAGTCCAATCTGGACGTCCAATTTTCGATGACGGCAATAATACGGTGAATGTTGTCTTCCAAATGGTCAAGCGTTTGTGGCTTATCCGCATAGACCAATGACTTTACATAGCCACACAGAAAGTAGTCTAGCGGTGTTAAATCACAAGATCTTGGAGACCAATTCACAGGTCCAAAACGTGAAATTAGGCTGTCACCAAACGTGTCTTTCAATAAATCGATTGTGGCACGAGCTGTGTGACATGTTGCGCCGTCTTGTTGAAACCACATCTCCTGGACATCATGGTTATTTAATTCAGGAATGAAAGAGTTAGTAATCGTAGCTCTATACCGATCACCATTGACTGTAACTTTCTGGCCATCATCTTTTTTGAAGAAGTACGGATAAATGATTCCACCAGCTCATAAAGCGCACCAAAACAGTCAGTTTTTCTTTTTGTAACGATGTTTCGACATACACTTGAGGATTATCTTCGCTCCAAATGCGGCAGTTTTGTTTGTTCAACCAGAAGTGTGCCAAACAAAATTCGCCTATGAAAACAACGGCAATCTCGTTTTGGGCCCATTCGACTAATTTACGCCTTACTTGATGATCGTTTGGCTTCAATTCTAGCACGAGTTGGATTTTGTAAGCACGATAACCAAGATCCTTTCGCAAAATCTTCCATAAAGTGGATGGACACAGATCCAATTCCTGTGCTTCATGGCGGATGGACTCATTCGGGTCTTCCTCAATGCTACGCTCTACAGCAGCAATAGCTTCTTCTGTACGCGCACCGTGCGGCCTCTCTGGGAATGCGAGTTATCAATAAGAGTAAACGTGGTGCGAAAACGTTCCATGGTTAATCGAATTAACTGCTCCGATGGACGATTTTGTCGACGATAAAATGGACGTAGTGCGCGATACGTATTCCGCACAGAACCACTATTTTCGAAATAAAATTGCACTATTTGCAAGCGTTCTTCACGCGTGAGTCTATTCATGATGAATTGCCAAACCAAACTGAGAATAAATCACTTGATAGCTGTTAAACCAGTCGCCATCTTGAACAGTAATGCCAACTTAAAGTTCTATACATCGAAAAAAAAACACCCTTTATAACTTTCAACGTCTGCAAGGTATTGCGCAGAGTTTTTGGCAACGGTGGAGAAGAGACTACCTCTCAGAACTTGGAACCAAACCTTCAACGAAGTACTAAAGGATTATACTTTACTATTGGTTCAAGAAGAAAATGACTCTCCATTGCTATGGAAATTGGGTAGAACTACCGAGCTGTATCCCCGTAGTGACGGCATCACACGAGTTGTATAAACAATGACATTTTTTCCAATGTAAAAATTTCAGATTTTTTTATACAATTGTTCGAAAGTAGCTTGCTAGCATTGCTATTTTGTTTGTATATTAATTTCTAATAACTACTCTATTGTATTCCACCTAAAAAAGTCTCTATAGACGTATTTTATTCATAACCGACACATCCCGCAATGACGACATTCGGACATACTGTACATATGAGAAACGGCATTGAATGTAAACAGCTCAGATGGTACGGCCACCTAGAACGGTATGTTGGCCAAAGAAGATCTGGAAATGGATTCCGCCGGGAAGATCGAAGCGTGGCAGACCACTGCGCAGTTGGAAGAGGTAAAACTTGTGGAATAGGAATTGTACCCAGTACTAGACTTTTTTCTCTTACTTTTAATAATAGTATAGGTGCTGGCCAAGATAGTTGATGAAGTTTATCCCAAGTTTTTTGTACTGTGATCTTTAAATCTTTAATAATAAGGTTGGTAATAGTCGTTTGACCAAGATGGCAAAGGTGAACTGTTGTTCATGGTATTTGACTACTTGCACATTTTTTATGAAATGAAACTCAGATATTTCAATTTATTTGTATTTTCTAATAAAATTTTAAAATTAAACAATTAATTAGATATATAAGGGATATATTATACACATGTATCTCAACTCAATATATTATCTGTCTAAAAATGTTCCAACTTGCCCAGAACCACCGAAATGGAATTTAAATAATTGCCATTTTGGAGCATCTTTAGTCGAGCATTACTTCTTGTATTTACACAACGTTTGCAATGCTTTAAAAAGGATTATTTACAATTAACAGAAGTGAAAAATCTATCTAAACTTCTTGAAAGATTACGAAAACTTTACAAAATATTTATCGTACAATCGACTCGAATTCACCGTCATGCCTTTCGAAATGGCACTGAGTGGTTACATTTTCCCTAGACATGTTGGCCGGGTTAAAGAGTTCTCGGGCCGTGGCGGAAACTGCGACCTCAATATAAAATTACGCTAGTAAAACACTCGCACACCACATCCATACAATAATAATACGTAATAAATAAACAATTAAACCGCTGATCAGTCAAAGTTTTCATTGAGCTATCCGTGGCAGTCGCAACTGAAAATTGAAACTTATATTATGCCATTTTAGGATTCTAATTTAAATAAAATTCGAAAAAGGGTAAAAAGAACAAAAAATTTGGCCTCCCATGAGGACTGATTAAAACGTACTGTAAAGGGAGTAGGAAATGTCCAGTTCATACATGGGACAGCACAGAAGCATCGAGAAATGGTGGAAAACGATTTAATTCCCAGCATACGAAAATTGTATACAGCATGATCATAATATTTATGGCTTTCCAGCAATGCCGACTTGAATGTAATCGAAATTAAATGACATAGAAATTGAGAGGCTGTCAACGAAGAATGCACGAAGGTCCAAGGTCTATCTAATATTAAGGCAGCGTGGGATTCAGTAAAACCACCTCTTCTGACTTCTATGACGTAATCCAAGCAAACATATATTATTAAATATAAATTGAGGTTATCAAAAGGCTTTATTAAAAATTATTTAGATATAATTCACAATATTATTAAATTGGGAATGCAGTGAAGTACAGTCTTAATGCAAAAGGATCATGAGACTTAAGCGTGTAGATTGTCATGTTGATACAATTTTGGACTAGAGATAAAAGAAGATGAACTAAACATATCCAAGCGGCGCGAAGACGAACCACAAACTGCAAAATAGTGCCTAACAGTTTTATGCTTTTTAGTAATTAATTATTCTAGGCAAACTTATTATTATATATATTTATTCTCTCTATAATCTAAATAGATTTTGTACTACTTAGATCGCATTCTCAAAAATAATCCAAAACTACTTCTATAAGTTTTCTTTTAAATGAATAATTATTGCATTGCACTTTATCTTCGTGTCAGTACATTTGCTTTTTTCTTTTTCTTTACTTTTTTTTATTTAAGGTATGTTAAGTCGAAATTTGTTGCTATGAGCGTACTGTCTATAACACTTATTTTCCCAATCCCAACTAAAGAAGACTGGAAAATTGTTCACCAATAAGGGCAGGGCAAGTTAGTTTTGGATTCTCATAAACCAGAACCTTTTAGAAGTATAGGTAATGAATAAAGATGAACCTTTCTTTTAAAAAAAATGGAAGTATAATATACAGGGTATTCCATTTGATTTGTTCACGAAAAATAATATTTTTCATTGTGACTCACCCTGTATAAACGAACTAACTTTAAGACAAGTATAGGATAAATCACTTTATAAAATTGTTGCCATAATAGAATAACAGGTTGAACACATGTAAACACATTGAAACCCTGAATGGAGATTCTGTCAAGAAGAGTGGGAAGCCAATGCGAAGCCCTATAGGGACGCGTTTTCATCTGCTGGGGGTAGCAAATGAAGAGGCAATGAGCTACACCAAGGAGAAACTATCGAATCGGTGGAGTTTAATTAGAGATAGGAATTGTACGAAAGCCCCATAGCTATGAGGAAAGTTACACATCGTAGTGATGGAGAGGCTAAATTGCTAACTCTAACTAAATTTTGAACTTGCTCGTGATAAGGTACGTTGCTAACTTCAACGATTAAATTTCAGTTGCGATTGCTACTTGAACGGAGGCGGTTAAAATAATCATAACAATCTAACGACTAAATCCGTTTCCGCGCACATTCGTTCCGTCGCCCGTAAATGGTAAACACCCTGTTTTGTTCGCAATCACCTTCAATTCCGTTAATGTCAATAAATAAACGCGTCGGTCGGATCACTCCTCCTCGACGTGTACCGTTATAACCATACACGGTTGTCAATATCGTTTATGGTTGTGCGGCGGGGGTCGCTGGGGGCCTCCCCACTCCTTGCCTTCCTTGTGGGGACGCCCGTCGTGGTGATGGTGGTGATGATGGTGCCGTTTCTTCTCCGACGATTTTTGGCCGAACACGTCGTTGATCACCATCTCCGAACCGTCCCGTTGTCGTTGGTAGGGCTCGTCCATGGTTTCCTTTCTCCTCAGGGGTGAGTGGTTAGAGGAGGCGTGAGCTTTGAGGCCGCTTTTGCTGCCCGCCGATTCGTGGAGGTTCTCCCACGCCTGCCGGTAGTAACGGTTCAGGCCGCCGTTTCTCGATTCCGAGCTGGAGGAATCGAAAGAGGCGACGGTGTTGCAGTCGGGAGATGCTCTGTGACGGTAATGTTTGGCACTTCTTTGATTCCTGAAAATTCGGTGAGGCACTTTAAAGCCTCTTAGAAACTTCCACAACTTCCACTACTATTTGCAAAACTTCTGGACTCCTGCTCCTGTTTTTGAGTGGAACTTGCTAAGGTTGGCTACTTTAGAGCTTAAATAAAACTGACTCGCATGCTAGTCCGTACTTGTTATATATTTTTTGTCAGCACCATTGGTTCTCCAACATATTTTCCAGTCTCTATATTAAAACGCTTTGCAGTGAAAACTGATACTTTCACACTGAAAGCTGAAAAACATTTCAGTTTCAGTTAAGCTCTGAAGAATCCGTCAGCTAAACTTCAGTTAGTTCGACTCAACAACAACCGACCCGGGAACATTTTGTAAATAGTCCTCTAAAGTCTTACTTGAGAAATAATTAAACATCTTAACGGGAAAAAGGCGAGAGGGTAATAAAATGTAAATTTGCAAACAAGGTGGAACCTATTTTTTTTCCAAACAGCTTTATTAAATAATAACAACACAGGGTTATAAAAGTGATGAGAAAATGGTAAACGCAAAAGTTGTAAAAATTTTTAGGATGCGTAATTTTACACTTTTTTAAAGTATGCAGGGTGGCTCAAAAAGCCGTAAAAAATGCAGTTATATACAGAGTGATGTAAATCTATGAGCAGAGATTCAAAACCGGTAATATCAGCAAACTAGTAGTATTTTTTCCACTCATCACGATGGTGGAAACAGAACAATAATTGAATGTAGGGTTAATAAGAAAATGAGCAAAAGGTCATATGCCAATATTAGTCCAAATTTTAAAATAACTGAATTATCAGCACATTTTCGTTTCAGACTATAAGCCATGAGTGGTTGCGAATTAAAACTCTTTTATTTGAGCCTAGGAAACATGAAAAAAAAACTAGAAAACCTAATTAATTTATGATTAATTATTAATTAATTCAATACATTTTTCTATTGGACGAATTGTTTTTAGTATTGTTCTTTTATTGGAGCCTTTAAAACGTCAACATGTTGGTGTCTTTCCTTATAAATTTGGTTTTATAAGTAACATTATATGTAGAAATCAATTGGGGTTATAATCGACGACCTTGGAGGCCAAGGAGTAGGTCCATTTGTAGCAATCCATTTATTGTTGAAAATGGTTGTCAAAAATTGATACGTACTTCGGAAGTTATGCGCCATCTTGTTGGAAATAGAGATTTATTTATTTATAAGGTATTTATGTTCGTTAATGCGTTTCTTGAAGGATCTACCTGTTTGTCGAATATAAATTTTAGGACAAGATCCGCATTTCAACCTGTAGACACCTGATTTTTGAGATTTTGGACATTTCGTTTTATTGTTTTTTAAAAAATTTTCTATTGTGTTGTTAGTTCTGAAAGCTATTTTTAAACCACATTTTGACAAATATTTTGAAACTCTTTCACTAGGTTCTCTTAAGTATGTAATTGTTTTAAATAGTTCGTGTTCTTAATTAACAAAATAAGACATTCAAATGTATTGCTTAACGTTCAATTAGATTTAAATATTAAACTTAAATTCTCCCAACAACATTAATTAAGGTTTTATGGTCATTTTTGGGAATACCTAGTAGCAGTTTGTAAACATTACATTTGATAAAGACACGGTGTTGTCGAAACAATTGTCATGTCAAAATATATAATTTCGTGAAAATCTGAACTTTTAGTTCTTATTTATTTTGATAAATGGATTTTCATCAAGTAAAAGCGACCTCAGTTCAACTAGTTTTCTATTTGGCAGGGCTGTCATTATTTTGCACAGCCTTCTTTGAACAATTTCTTCCGCACCTTTATCGAATCTTTAGAAATAATGAATGCGCTTTTGCTAAAAGAAGGAGACGAACAAAATCTGTAGTAAATGAAGACGTGCAATTAAGTGTTTTATTTCACAACCACTCATAGCCGTCTAGTCTAAACGGCATATGTGCTGATAATTCGATTATTTTCAATTTTAGGATAACATTTCATATGACCTTTTTTGTTCTCTCGGTAATTTACGAACGTTAGAATACAAAATATACAGGGCGTTCCATTTAATAAGAGTACATTTGTTACTAGTTTACTAATTTAACCGAGTGAGGTGAGGTGAGGGTCCTATTAGATGTTTATGGAGAATGACTTACGACAAAAACCTTAAATGTTAGTTAGTTATGTTGATAGTTTCATTTACGTGCCAATGTAAAATACGGGCATTCCATTTAAAATTCCACGTAACTTGAATTTTTATATGGCGCCAATTGGGCCTTATCTTATGAACGCTCTTTGCGAAAGAAAATATTATTTTGTATCGGGTTGTTTTTTGACAAATTTCTTAAAAACTATTGTTTGTCTCCGAAAATGTTCCAGAATATTTAGCAGAATCTAAAACTTTTAATAACATACACGGTGTTCCATTTAAAAAACGAAGGTTGATATACCGTGAATAACCCGTATATAATAAAACACAATTACAGTGCTTCGATAGCTCTGGTCTAGAGACTTAAATCAACAGTGTTCTACGTTAACTGGTGTTCAATTTTACCAACTTTTGTTTTGCGACAATTTTTAGGTATAACGGTACAGCTTTTGCGCTGTGATTATGGATTGGGATAACCCATTGAAAGTTTGTATTTGATTTTTGAATTATTTTGCAGTATAGTTTCCAAGCTACCTTTAATTTCTAATGTAGGATGATATCGATATAAAATTTTTCATCTTTGCATCTCATCGAAAATGGTCTTTTCACAAGTTTCGCAGGTCGGGATTAGATAATTCAATCACTTTTTCCAAATCGATGTTGTTTATTATTTACTTTGGTTTTTTCATTTTTCAGAGTACGGCCATGTGAGATGCGCATTAAGGCCCTTATTTATTAGTTTTTCTTCTGGCTTACCTGTTTGAAGATATTGGCTCGGCCCTTTAAGTAAGTTCTAAAATACTATAGAATCTTCCCTTAAAGCCCATATAATATAACTTCCTCAAGCTCAAGCTTTTCTCACATAATTTAACAAGTAAAAGGTATTATTTTGGAATATATCTCTTCTTTTTAATTATTTTTAAAAGAACAGGACAAAGAACTAAAGGATACCGTTCGGTTATTTTGTTATACTTGACAAATGTAAGTAGATGAATAACAAATCTTTGCACCAGAAAATACTTTGATTAAGGGAAAATACGTAAATCACGACAACGCTGTGCCGGCCGAGATCGACCCGTCTAGAAGCCTACTTGGTATGAGCTATATATTTGTTTAGTACGAATCATGCAGGTCCCGTATCAGGTGCGGAAAAACAGAGTGCTCGCCCCACAAACAGGCCCCGCCCCTCGATCATGCAGTGCAGTGCGGGCACGTTATCACCATCGTTTACCTGTTAAAATTAAAACTTGGCACGGTTAAATGGGGTTGCTAAAATAGCCGGCTCTATGCGAGCGATAACTCCTGGAAAACTCCCTCCTGCCGATCTGCTGATCGGGAAACGGCAACGCCAGGAGGGTGTACCATCTGGACGGGAGGGCGCTGGGCGACGGGAGACGGTGCGATGACCGTGTCGACGTACCCGCACTGCTACCGCAAATTTCACTTGTTTTACACGCCCGAGAACGCCGGTGTAAACATGGTCAAGAGAGTCACATGGCAAAAAAATCGGGTTAACATCAACGGGGCCCTATTTACGTATTGGGACTCGAGATTCTGGGAATCTGGAAGCCGGGCAGAGAGACGTTCTCGAGGACACTTTGGGCGGGAACCAATATGGCCTCTCTATGAAGAGGGACTGTACAGAGCGACGTTCTCTACCGAGGACGACTAACTGTGTCCAGGAGAAAACCGAAGACTTTAACATTTTATAAGTAAAAAAGTTATCATTTTCGGATATCTGTATTTTTAGTTGTTTTCATGATATTTAACTTTTTTTTTTCGAGTGCTAAATACTTTTTTTCTACTCCCTTCTGCAAAATTCCTAGTAAACTCGTGACTCAAGTGCCGATTACCGCACTGGTTGCATCATAAACTATTATTAAGTTTTGTTCCTGTATTTCTACGACTGTTATTACTTAGTTAATCAATATAAATATAAAAATACGCCGTCAAATCTTAAGGCAAACTTTTTACAAAATTTTCACGAGTTTGTCACATTTGGCAACCAAATAACTTAACTAATTAAACAAAAACTAATATTAAAAAGCTAAATGAAAGATCTTTTTTTAAAAAAAAATCAAATTTCATGGCAATTAAAAATTAAAAAAAACAACTGAGCAGATTTATTTCTTTTGATCATTACTCTGAAATTAAGTTATTAATGATGATAATGTATGATTGGAAAAAAAATCAAAAACATTTTGGTATTTACTAAAAGGTATCCAGATCGACTAAACCCTACAAGAAGCAGCGTAAAACGAATAATAGATAGATTTAAAATTAAATAAATTATAAATAATATACCAGAACAAAATATAAAATATTTCGTTCTTTTTTTCACTCGTTTATTAAACACTCGCTCCGGTGCGCTCCGCTCGTGCCAAATAAATCGTGACCCAAATGCCGTGAATGTATTCGTGTTGTTTCGCGAAAATGTACCCAAAAACTAACGGTCGTAGAAAAAGTATAGTATGCAACACTTTCGGTAAACTTTTTAAGTCGCTCCGCTCTTGTCAAATAAACTCGTGAGTCAAATGCCTTTTACCGCACTTGTTGCATAATATACTATTACAGTTCAGGTTATATTTATAAATTAAAGTTTTAGTCTTTTATAAAATTAAAGTAGGTGTTAGCATCACCAGTCAACACTCGCGCTCCTGGCTGTTTGCATAATGGGGAGCGCGAGTCTGGGCCGTAGTTCGGCAAGTGACCAGCGACGATCGGTGAGAGGGTGTCACCGTCCACGTACAACGCTCGCTGAAGCCTGTCAGCTGCCGGGCATTCACTTCCGCCGCGTGTGCCTCGCATAAGCAATTTTGTATTTTGTTCTCGATTTACGTCAAATAACCCCTTTTTACTATTTAATTTTTGTGCAATCATTAAGTTTAACGCCTTAGAGATTTATTATCTATCAGTAGGCTTTGATCGACTTTTGTTTAGTAGACAACTACGTTGAACGTTTTGACGGTCATGTGATTGAAAACTTAATATTTGTGCTTATGTTGCGTTTCTAGCATAGTTAGTTTTCAAATCGAGTTTATATGTGTGTTCGTCGGAATGTAGAGATGTTCCATGATGGATACCATCCAGACAGGATGAATTTCCGTACCAATTGTGGCCGTTTGAGCCCTCCAGGGTCTTTCCGTCAAAAAGAACACAATGCAGGACGCCCAAGATCAGGAAAAAGAAACACTAGTCCGTGTAGCTGAAGATTCACAAGCAAGGTTTTGTCGGTTAAGTGCCGTTACTAGAGTAAGTTCTGAGTCAGTGTTTAACGCAATAAAATGAGAATGTTTTTATCCCTATCCCTAGCATTTGCTGCTTCCTGATCAGCAACCAAGACTAGATTTTCCTAACTTTATTCAAAATAAAAATCCTAGTTTTATCAATAAAATATAATTTACTGACCATGATACTTTTACCCTTAGAGGTATTTTTCATTTTCATAACTGACATTCGCGGGATGAACAACACGACTTCATTTGATGGATGGCTGATGACTGATAAATTTCTTTTCTTAATTTCTTAATTTAATCTTTCCCCTTGCAATGGATTGGCAGAAGATGTCCACTTCTTGAATGGCCGCCACGCAGTCCGGATTTTAATCCAATGGATTTTTGTTTTTGGGACTATATTGAACGTTCCAATAAACAGTCGTGATAAAGCTGGGCACAAAATTCAGTACGCTGTTGATGAGTTCCGAATGAAAAACTCATTTTTTAAAATAAGAAGTCGAACTTGGTGAAGTTTTGCTTAGAAGTCAACAGGGATGCCTGTTGACTTCTAAGCTAGACTGAAACTGGCTCGCATTTTACTCTGTACCTGCTCATATATTGTTTGAGGGGGGCGGAGCTAAATGAGGGGCATATGATCGAACGCTTAATATCTTTAACGGATGGCGATGTGACCATGCAGTAAGGTCACAAGGTCTGTGTGCGCAGGTCTTCTGCAAACACAATGACGCAATTTTAAGTCTGATTTTCTATTGATAAGAAGATCTAAGAATGGAAGGTTATTAGTAATTTCCAACTCAATGGTAAAACGTATGTTAGTGTGCATAGAATTTAAATATCTAGGAAAATCTACTAGGGTTTCTTGACCATGAGGCGAAACAACAAAAGTATCATCGACATAGCGACATAGGGGTCGAGAGCTTGCTTGCTTCTCAAACGCTTCCATAAATATATTCGCGATGACTGGTGATAGTGGAGCGAGCCAGTTTCAGTCAAGCTCTGAAGGATGATTGGCGAAAAGTCATCCAAAAAAGACGCAGGAGTTTTCTGGTTACTTTTGTAAGAAGTATTACAGTAGCCTGTGGAAGTTTCTTTGAAAGATTTACGGAATGTATAGACTTTATTTTTTTGTTTCTTGTAATAATTATCAAGTTAGTTAATTAAATAATACTTTGTTTTTTCTGTTCTTAAAAGTAATCTTTCTTTATCGGTATTCATTCGCTACTAAATATTAGTGAGGTTATTTAAAAGTAATGTTTTAAATAATAAATTAGTAGTCGGCTATTACTTGGTTTACACGGCGAGTGAAACAAGTAAATATGTTGAAAACGATTTAAAATACAGATATTGTGCAATAATCCATTTGTTACTTAAAGAATGCCTGTCATATCAGAAATTAAATTCCAGAATATACAAAAAAAATATGACGAAATTTTTGCAATCTACAAGTTATCGCAAAACTGAAAATTGTAAACGTAAGTAAAAAAAAAAACTTTTATCACCTCACCAGGTCTATTTGATACGAAGAATATCGGTTAAGGTGACTGACTACGAATCAGTCGTTTTGAAACACTTTGTGCAGCCCTCTTTGGTCACAGATATGCAGATATTTATGCAAGCAGATCTATGCGATATCGGTGCGTGCTCACGACAACTTCAACATAGGTGAGCTCGGAATTGCTATTTGAAGGTACGGCACGGGAAATACTGGAAGACTTTACCGAAACTAAGGCAGACGAGGACAAAAAGTGGACTTCTAACCAGCTGCGCACCACAAGTTGTCAATCGATTAAGAGTACTAAGAGGTGACTTCATTAAGCCCGAGAAACTATTCAAACTGCTCATGAAAGAGGACCACAGAGCTCTTCTAGGCGACCCTCCACAGCAGGCATAGAAAAGATATGGAAGCAAACTTTTTCAGAAAACAATTTTTTCATTTTTCTGTAGAAATATCTGCAGCTGCATCTTTTAAATTTTTTCATTGAAACGAAATTTGAGGTCAAGTGGCCATTCAAAAACGATATCGTCAAAATCAGGTGATGATTGGATTTCTACGAACAACACTTAAACTACGGATGTATAATACTATCAGTATATCGCGCCAGGTTATTGATTGATAATTATTAATGTCATTTCACTAAAATAAAATTTCATTTAGCCATGTTTACACCAAATAGAACGAAACCGTTCGACTACGAGAAAAAACACCTACCTTCTAACCAAAATGACGATCGTTGTTACAATCGCAGCGAGAAAAATGAACGCCCCGAAAGCTCCGAGTGCTATGATAGCACCGACGTTCAGTCTAGCTCCGTATGGATCTTTTCTGTCTCCGTCGATGGACAGAGGTACATTTACGTTTGGAATGCCTCCGTGTTGGATATTTGAACTCCCTGGCGAATCGAAATAAGTCTTAAGTGACGAATAATGGACGTCATATGTCAGGCCCATGTAGCTATCATACAGTAACTCACAGCTGAAAAACTAACTGGTCTGAATGTTTCTTTATTTATTTGGCAAAATTGAAATTAAGTTACCAAAGAACCTTCTAAAAATTTGCCTTACTTGGTTAACAGTAAAGAATTAATTAAATTATAAGTCAAGATTAGCTCCAAATAAGATCTTCAATGAACGTGAGGAAAGATGGATTTCAAGAAAGGTGTCGAATTATCCAAAAATGTGTGTCGAGGTGGAAAGACATTTTGGAAAAAGGAGTAATCCCGGGACAATTCGACGAATCCTGCGAAAAAATAATTTACATAGTCGAAGTGTCAGAAATAAGCCTAGAGAGCATATCGATAAAGATTTGAACTTCTGGAATTCAGTAATATTTGCCGATGAGACCAAAATAAACTTATTTGGATCCGATGGAAAAATATCAGTATGGAGAAAGCCTAAGAAAGCTGCAGGAGTAGGCAACATGCATTGAAGGAAATATGAACCAATATGTGTATTTGGATGTATTAAGACAGCATCTGGTTGCTAGTGCCCAAAATTAAATATGGATGAAGAGACCAGCCCAATCACCAGACTAAAATGTAATTGAAAATTTGTGGTTGACATTAAAAAACATAGTAAATAGTGCCCTAATATTCAACAAGAATGAATTAAAAGTAAAAATTACTGAAGTATACTTAAGTATACTAGAAAATTAGTTGAATCGATACCCTGAAGACTACAAGCTGTTATAGATAATGTATCGATAAAATATCGACAATATTTCAAATTATGAAGTTGTTCTTCTCTATTGATTTGGTTATATATTCTTTTTAATCATTTAAGCTGTGACGTTAACATTGTATGTAATTTCTTAATTTTTTATTGTTAACTAATTAAGGCATATTTAGACAAAACGTAATTGTAATTCACTTTTCTAGACGGCTCTAAATAAATTATTATAAATTCAGACCAGTTAGTTTTTGTTATAGCTACTGCATCATTTAGGCTGTGAGTCGCTGTATAAATATAATGACCCTACTTCGTTAAAAACTGAGGCGATATTTTCGTAGAGAAGCTGCCCTGTGTGTCATTTTCTTTATAAACCGCATTTAACTCCTTCTTGTCCCAATGTTTTGAGAAAATATTGCCGTAAAAATAACGCAGCCAGACTTATTGACGATCTGTCAGCGGCCATCTTTCTTCCTTGAAGATTGTTGCTAAAAATCGAGATTTTAAATCTCGCGCATGCTCGTATTGAATGGACATTCTCTTTTTTTTTTCATAGTCGTTTCATAAGTTCCTGTATTATTAGCATAGACAGGACCTCTCTAGTACCTACGCGGTCACTAACACGAAAAATAAAATCTTTCACAGAAATCTATTAAAAAAATCTTGCTGTTACACTATAACGTAAAAGTTGTGACCAGATGATTTTATATTCATTGCGAGCTACCTTAAAACAACAAGATATCGGAAAAAAAAGTTATACTGTTATTTAAAGTTCCTCAAAAACAAATAAGTTTCTTTTCATTATGCAATTCTACGAACAGTCCCTTCTATTTAATTTTTGGAGAAAAAGTTTAAATGTCGGTCCCCTGGCGACTATTTTTAAAATGTTAAAATATTTTCCGCAATCTCCTTTTCACCACTTTAGGAACAGCTTTAAATATTTGCACATATTGTCACTACAAAATGGCGTACCTGCAATTTCGTTATCCTGAGGATGGTTCGCGACGATTATAGACGGGATTGTAGTGGTAGTAGTCAAAATGCTACTGGTGCTGAATGCTGTGGTTTTGAGTGTTGGTCTCCTCGTCCTTGACGTCAGTTTCACGATATCGTTGCTGGCTTTGATTGTAGTCGGAGGCGGTCTCGGTGTTCTAGTTCGTCCTCTCGTACTCGTCGGAGGTCTTGTAGGCTTGGTTACTTCTTGGGTGGTAGAGGTCAATGTAATATCGACTGCAATTATCAATAGATAGCACGATAACAAATGCGCATAAATTATTAAAGTCAAACATTCGAAATACCTGCAGTTATTATATTGTATGTATTGGAAATTAGTCTCTAGTAAACATAACTATAAAACAATCGTCACATAATTAATTTTTTTTATCAATTGAGGTCAGCCTGTCTTGAGAAATCAACTTCAAGAACGCTGGGAACTAATATTTTTGCAAGTGAAGGCGATATATCACAGTATAGTAATTTTTCAGTGCCTATTTCATCTTTTAGGTGTGAGGTGAGGTAATTACTTTGACACGCATAATTTGATATAGAATATATTTAAAAGAAAACTATATTTTTCGTAATATTTACCATTTACCATTACGTAAATCATATTCTTTGTAAAAAAAATAAAACTAAAATTAATCCCATCTTATCGTTCCACTTGTGCCTAATAAATCGTGACTAAAATACCGTTTATCATCGTAATTATAGATTTGTGAAGCTGTAATTTTGACACGCATTGTTTTATGAATAATATTCGTTTCATATATAGGGTAGTCCGTAATGAACGCGCCAAAAAGCATTCCTAGATTAAACTTCCAAATATATTAATATACATTAGTCAAATTTAGCCCATCAGTGTATTAACGTTTAGTTCTGTTAATTCTCAACAGCTCAAGCTCTTTTTTAGATATTAAAAATGAAAACCTGGTTCCGGCTTTTTTTTTTTTTCAATAAAATTTAAAACAAGTTTCTGTATAAAAACTTACCAATACCCGCAAATTATATTTTTATTATACATTTTTTGCAAAAAAATTATCTTGAAATCGAAATTCGGTAATATTTCAATTTTATATAAAAATATCCAAAAAAACTGCTTAATATTTTTCGAAATAATTACCACAACACGAATATCTATATTCTTTGGAAAACAGAAAAAAATAAAATTACGATTCGAAGCATCACTGACTACAGATTAAAAGTTCTTAATAAATGTAACGTCAAAACCATATTAATCGCTGGTCCAAAAATGATACAGGAAGAAGTTTACAGCATTCCATCCATCAATTAGGGTCAAAGAACATGAAATAACCTCAAGACTCCCCAATAAACTCATCAGCAGTTTTCGAACACAATCATTCATGTAATCAATTCCAAACCAAACAATCTTAACCGCGACTAGGTATGAGTCATCCGAGATAATATCCATGCCTCTCCTTTAGTTTCCCCTCCAGCAAACGATATATAAGCAGATACAGTTAACCTTTAAAGAAACCAACAGTTTGATTTATAAAAACCGATGCAGGAGGAATTAAGAAGATTTGCAAATAGTGATAACTATCACTAGTTTTATCCCATCTGGTATAATAATCTTTGTGCGTAGTATTACTAGTATAAACTTAGACCGTTCAATTGCAAAATTTTGATTATTACAATGTTTGCTCCATTGTGCTTATAAGAAAGTGTTCTCTCTCTAGAATGAGAACGTTTTCTATAACTATCACTAGTTTTATCCCGTCTGGTATAATAACCTCTACCCTTACTTTTATGTCGATTCATATTCCAAATTTTAATTACTACAATATTTTCTCCGTTGCGTTTCTCTCTAGAATGAAAACGATTTCTATGATCTTTTCGACTGACATGTTTATCGTAATTTTCACTACAAGTTGCTCTATTATCACGACTACTACTACTAGAAGTGAAAAGAATTCGGAAGATTTGTAAATACTAATTTACCTTATTTTATGATAAAAAGAAAAGTTTTAATTGCAACAAAATATAATTGTTGTCACATCTTTCTCATGTCCTCATCATTGTGCGTTGCGCCAGTCTAAGAACATTTATACTTACGCTCGCAAGATGGCGGCAGGGAGTCATACTGTCCGTTGGCCATGCAAGTAATTTTGGACGCTCCCATTATTTTAAAGCCCGGGTTGCAGACGTAGTTGACCGTGGACTCGAAATAGGTATCGTTATTCGGGATTTCGAACATGCCGTTGGAAATCGTTGGAGGAGGTTCGCATTGCACCGCTGGAATTAATTGACAAAGTTAATGGTAGCCCAAAGTCTTAAGAGCCACTCCTAAATACAATATAAATGAACGAGTTAATTTCTGCAGCACCAAGAAATCTTTGAAAGATATTTGAACAATAGAACAACTCACGTTCGCATCGAGGTGGTGGTCCGTTCCACCTCTCATCGATGTCGCAGGATAGCTGAGCTCTACCGATCATTTCGAAGCCTTCGTAGCACACATAAATTACTCTGCTTAAGTATCCCACGCTGTCGTTAACCAGCGTGTACTCTCCGTTCGGAATATCAGCTGGATAGCCGCACTGTATACCTAAGAAATAAGATTGCTTTTGAAAAATCGCCACGTTCAAGAATTTTTTGAAAATAGTAAATAGTTTTCGAGAAAATAAGTTTTTTCTGAAACCATGCACCGTGCCATAATAATCAATGACGTCTTGACGGCCCCCGAAATAGCGATTTCAATATGGATTTTTTCAAATATCCCGAGCGGCGCAAATACAAATATAACACTTTTTTTATACGATTTTTGATTTGCGGCTAATTTAATATAATATAAATAAATAGCAAAATTCAGTATATTGTCTGGGGTTCCACAGGGTAGGGTTTTGGCTCTATGCTCGTGTAAATTAACAATGAGTTAAGAGTTGGTATAATTGTCATTGGAATATATTCTTAAATTATTGTTTATTCACTATTCTTTGGTGCAAATAAATAGTTAACTGTAGCTAAATGACAAGTGTATTTGAAAGTTAATAATATTCCTTTAAATGTTGTTGATTTTGCTTGAAATCTTGGAATCATCTTGGACGGAGAACATAGGTTTCGTGAACATGTTAAGAAACTAATTCAAAAAGCATCTAAAACTTTTATATTCAAGCATTTATTTTCTCAACATTCACCCTAAAGGGTAATCTATGTGAAAGCTTAGTGTTATTAGATTGTAACTATCGCGATTTTATTTATGGCCCTCGTCTAGACCTTAGAACAGTTTTAGCTAGACTTCGCCACATTGAAGCACTTTGATTATTTATGGAATGTAATTTTGGAGAAACGTAATTAATAGAAGATCTTTTATTATTATTATTATTTAGCATCCGGTAAATAGACAACATAGAGAATATTTAAAGTTACTTGTGTATGAAACCACGACGATCGGTTATGCCATCGGACATAATGAATTTCATAACTTCTCTATGAAATGAACCTACCCAGCAGGGTCCAGGAGGTTCAGTGGGTTACCCTTTAATAGAAGGAACGACATAACCATGACAGTTAGGAAACAACTCTCCAATTGTCTTAATAATGCAGATGGTGTTAATTTTCCTTTTTATTAATTACACTGCCGCTAATAACTTGCCCAGCCCGGCCCTTCGTATTTCTTATAAAAATAGCGTTATTGATGGAACTGAGGGACAGTTTGATTTTAGTTTAACTGACGGAAGTTGAAGTGCTTGATATAATTAACACCTTTAAGATTAAGGCAACGCGAAATGATGGTCTTAATATCACTAATATTGCAACTTTGTTGCCCAAAATTTTTATAAAATAATAATGACAATCATCAAACTCCGTGCATTTTCGTTCTGTTAGTATTCTTCCTACACTCGCTACGATCCTGGGGGATAATATTGAACAAACAAATTCGAGCATTTCTCAATATTTATAGTATTTTGCCCCTGTAACAATCGGGTTTTAAATCTGGTTATGAGGGGTGTTTTTTTTTAGATGTATAAAACTTTAAGTTGCAATAAAACAACGATGGATTATTCGATTGACATGAATTTTATTTATCCGAAAGATAATCTTGTGGCATTGCACGGCTGGCGCGGCTATAGTCCTATCTGGACATGGCGAATGTTGTCTTCAAAATGGTCAGGCTTATCCGCATAGACTAATGACTTTACATAGCCCCACAGAAAGTAGTCTAGCGGTGTTAAATCACAAGATCTTGGAGGCCAATTCACAGCTCCAAAACGTGAAATTAGGCGGTCACCAAACGTGTCTTTGAATAAATCGATTGTCGCACGAGCTGTGTGACATGTTGCGCCGTCTCGTTGAAACCACATCTCCTGGACATCATGGTTATTCAATTCAAGAATGAAAGAGTTAGTAATCATGACCGATGACCATTGACTGTAACGTTCTGGCCATCATCGTTTTTGAAGAAGTACGGACCAACTATTCCACCAGCCCATAAAGCGCACCAAACAGTCAGTTTTACTGGATGTAACGGTGTTTCGACATACACTTGAGGATTAGCTTCGCTCCAAATGCGGCAGTTTTGTTTATTGACGTAGCCATTCAACCAGTGATGAAGTGCGCTGCATCGCTTAACAAAATTCGCTTATGAAAATCGGGAACAACGGCAATCTCGTTTTGGGCCCATTCGACGAATCTACGCCTTACTTGATGATCGTTTGGCTTCAATTCTTGCACGAGTTGGATTTTGTAAGCACTTCCATAAAGTGCTCTACAGCAGCAATAGCTTCTTCTGTACGCACCGTACGGCGTCTCTGGGGATGCGAGTTATCAATAAGAGTAAACGTGGTGCGAAAACGTTCCATGGTTAATCGAATTAACTGCTCTGATGGACGATTTTGTCGACGATAAAATGGAGTAGTGCGCGATACGTATTCCGCACAGAACCATTATTTTCGAAATAAAATTGCAACTATTTGCAAGCGTTGTTCAGGCGTGAGCCTATTCATGATGAATCGCCAAACCAAACTGAGAATATATCACTTGACAGCTGTTAAATCGGTCGCCATCTTAAATAGTAATGCCAACTTAAAGTTCTATACATCGAAAAAAAAACACCCATTAGTTGTGAATTCTAATCATCCTTTTTAAATGGTTTTCTAATGAATAGGTTACTAAAAGGCTTCTTTACGATACTCTAGTACAAGAAAGAAAAATAAGAGAATTTTGAAGTCCCAAAAAGCATTTTAGTATTCTCTTAACATCTTCGATCCGTCAAAGACAAAATTTCGTTTGAGATGCCAGGAGTTTACAACATACGCGACAAAGAATACATTGGAGGGACAGGACGAAAATGTCAAATTAGATGATTGCCGTCAGCAAGTAGGATTTATTAACATCTGACGCAGCAGGAATCTAGAAGATTGGCAAGTAGTGTAACATTATATTTGGCGAATTTCTTTTCTGGTCTTGCTATTGTGAACATGAATGTTTTTGTCAGCTTTAAAATCAAGAGTTTTTCCGTTTTGGACAGAAGGTTTCCTAGTAACTTTAGGAAAATAAGGACGTATAGAAATGTTAGTAAGGATCTGAAAATCTAGGAAACTGTGTAAAAGTCGTATTACATAATTTCGGAAACTCCAAAAAACAAATAAATTTGATTTAAAAATAATGGTAATAATAACAATTACAACGCGATCGCTTACGTTTACAAACGGGGGGAAATTCGTTGTAGAAACCCGTTTCCAAGCAAGTTCTCATCGTAGGTCCAACTAAGAGGTGTCCTTCGTCGCAAGTGTATTCCACCACGGAACCAACGTTGAAGTTGGGGGCTAGCATCGTCGAATTCGGTGGTTGTTCGGGCCTGCCGCAAGCTTTCGGTTCTGGAATATACAGATAAATTAAACATTATTTTTTGGAAGATAAAAGAAAACCTTTTTCCATGGTAACAATGCCATACACTTAATCATTCAATATCACAATTAGTATTTCATTTTGAAAATTCGTTAATACTAAATATTATAGACAATAATTAACTTCATCTACATAGGTACAGGCTACAGGCTTTCACCAATATTCCAAAATACAGGGTGTCCCTGAATGGAATTGAAAATTGTTTTTTCTCTTATGGAGTATTTCAGTCAATTTCAACTTTCGTTTACCGCTAGAAGAAAATTTTTCATAAGTGTTATCTAAGTGTTGTTGTACCTTACAGATATTGGATAATATTGATATTGATATATAAAAATTGCATCATAATTAAGGCCCAACTGAAATTTGGGTCAATTTGAACATTTAACGAGGTCAAGGCATATTTTGAGAAAATACCGAAGTCAAAATGCCGCATCCAAACTAGTTGGTTGTTCAATGCCTTAAGGTTATGAGTTGATGACGATAACGATTAAACGAAGTTTTTGGGTTCCTGTGAGTTTGACAATCAATATTTATTATAAAAAACCTGGAGAAATCAATATCACTTTACTTTTGACATAAAATTCAAAATATGCAATTGCAATTGTTGGGCACGCATTAATTTAGATTACATACATATAAAATGCTTTAATTATAGAGTGATAATAATAAGAAAATTATGTTTTAACGAAAACATACAAGATAATGTATGATTTGTTGATATTTTTTGCAATACAGTCCCATCTAAAATTTTGGACTTTTTGATACACAATAACTGACTATTCAAAATTTACGATATGTAATTTATTGGTATAAAAATTATTTAATTAAGTAAACGACATATTGAACATATGAAATATTGAATGTGATTTATGAATAATTGCGATGTTTCTCTGATCGCATACTTCTTCATCTTCAGAAAAATTAAAATTAAAAAAATTAAGTTTTGGCCATGTGCTAAAATAAAAACCTGTTTTATACTTAATGTATGTCGCTCACATTCTCTGGGAATTATCAAATTAGGTCTCTGTCTTAATAAATGCATGGCCCCATCTTTTCTCAACATCTTGCTTTTTTATTCAGTTTAATGTCAAAGGTAAGAATTAAAAAAAATCATATAAATTAAACATTTAAGTAATTTTATGCTATTATCTGGCATTATAACACTAATCTTGTAAAAATCTTGGAGAACTTATTGGTTTGACAATAAATAAGATAAAAATGTGTATGAAAAAATGCTAGAAACAGATGGACCGATGCATTAACTTAGTTATACAACTTATGCTGCTTTAACGGGGTAATTTTCATCCCTTTTATAATACTTTAGTCTTAGTTCTTGCGAAATCAGCTAGAAAGTATAATTTATAAGCATTCTAGAAATGAAAAAAAATGCAAATAAAATCCCTCCCCAGTGAATAACTGATTGTTTTGTTCTTTTGTTTGTGAGTTGGTAATAGGAGTCATTTTTCTCTTAGTTCTTGTAAAATTTTATTAACAAGCATTCTAGTTATAAAACTGGTTGTTCTTAAACTTTAAGTTGTGTTTGGGATTCTGTTTCGACCGGTCTGGATCGGCATTAGATCAAAGCATCCCAGGGGCCGGTGGCCTACGATGTACTCGAGAAGCCGGGTCACGCGCCTACTATGTTGCGTCGTAATAAGTTGAGTAAAGTTTTTATTACAAAATCGAATCAACAGATTGCGAAACTGCAAAATTATAGCTGTGCCTTAATTATAATGCAATCTTTGTTTTTGATAAGCTAGTAAAGAGACAAATTAATCTCTTCGAAAATATATGAGATGTCCAGCTCAAAATCCCCAAAAATGAATCAACATCAAAGACATCACACTAATTACTGATTACTAAAAATCATTAATTACTTACGGTGCTGACAGATGTAATTCAGGTGCATGTTGCAATCAGTGTCAGACCAGAGCCAACCCTTGGAACCGTCGTAGCGAGCGCAGTCGCCGTTTCCGACTGGTAGATTCCAGAAAGAAACGGTGACCTCGTCCCCCTTTAACCATTTCCATACTCCAAGCTGTTTGTCTCGTACGGTTCCCATCCAGTATTGTCCTTGGGCATCGCTTCTATGCCTCCTCCATAACTCCCAACTTATGAAACCTGGCATACACGTACACGAATGTGGTGTTAAATTTAAAGCGTTTTCATTATATCGACACCTCGTAGACATAGACTAAACGTAAATTTTCAAGATTTTGATTTTTGATTTTTTGCTTAAGAGTTAGCTCATTATTTTCTAATGTCGCTTTGAGATTATATTTCTTTTAACAAGATTCAATAAATATTCTCCTGGCTTCTTCAGAGTTAAAGTGAGCTGAGATATTTTCGAACATCCATTGTCTTTATTTTTTCTTTAAACAACATTTCGGGCCGATGTCAAATGCAGAATAATTTTAATTATAGGTATGTCCAGTAGCTTGCTTATACTTCCACCTTCGGCGATTGGAGACTTTTAAATTTCATTAGTTTTGTTCTTCAATTATAACGTTTAAAGGTCCTTTTGATTTTGATTTTTTTTGGCATTCTACTATGTAGCTGCTTCTGGACTGCTTAAGGAAGGTGAAGCTAAAGGAGGGACATTTAGCTCAATCGACCGAGGCGAAGCTCAATGAGGAAGGACTTAGCTTCACCTTCCCCAGACAGTTTATAAGCAGGCACGCAGTAGAATGCGAGTTGATTTATGTTGATGTTGATTGATTGGTTTATTTTTATAAGTCTATCTTGGACCAGAACTTTGCTTAGAAATACTGCGATTTTTAGGTTAGGAATACAATATCACTAGCCTATTTAGGCATCATTTTACTAAATTATTATTGAAAAAATTATCTGTTATTGTGTCAAAAAACGCGCTCTAACGGGATCACTAAGAACTAGACGTATTACAGATAACGGGACCAAGTTTGTTTCGTTTCAGTCTATTAGGAATTACAGCTGTTTATTTGAAACATAACTTAATTAGGCTGCGTACTTTATTTTAATAGATACGTCAAAAAGAATTACACACACGAAATACTCGAATAAAGCTTTGCTTGTAAAAACATAATTTATGAAGATGAAAGTCAGAGTATTTTGCATTCTTATCTGATCAGCCAGACATAATGTCTAATTTTTATTTTGAAAAAATGAATGGATAACAATACACCATAAATTCGAAGTCACTTTATTATTCCAGACGTTTCCAAAATATGCCAAAATTGTAATTTACCTTGTAGGGCGGGGTTGCTCTCGTCCACTAATGTTCCACCTCTACCCCGACAGAAAGCGAGTGCTTCAGAAAACTTTAGCGGTTGACGATTGTAAAAAACGTAACACTTTCCGTTGTAAGTGGCGGTGCTTCCTGGCGGTTGGTCCCTGAATTGGGGACACCTGCAATTACAACAGCATTACAAACTAGGAAACGACGTAACTCGAGGATACGCCTGATTTGGAGTACCCGTCATTGACGGACCATACAACTTCGATCAGTCAGAGATACGACGCCATTTTTCTTTTTAACTGACAAACAAACACCCGAATTTAATATTTTTGAATTCAGAATAGCAAGAACTGTTCAGAGAGATAGTAATTGTTTGCATCGTCGTATTTCTGACATTTTGCAGGCGCGAACGCAAATAAAGAGATCTGTTTAGAGACAATAAAATAAAAAGGGATTTGTTTATATCGAAAAAAAGATGGCGTCTTATATTTGACATTTGACAGGCATTTTACTGGTATTTTAAGAATGTCATTCAAAAGGTAAATAAAACTGAATATTATAAAAAGCAAACAAACAACTCCGCCTAATTGTCTTTTTTTTTGCTTTCTATTAGTATTGCGAAATACACTTTTTAAAATTCCGGAGAAAATAATGAACAAGCCAATATTTACAGTAATTTGACTAAATCGGGATTTAGATCTGGTGATAGTTGATATTGCAGAAATAATAAGTGGCATTTCTAAGGCTTATAATGATAAAAAAAATAGTGCCATGATTTTACTTGATTTTGGCAAAGCCTTTGGCATAATAAACTATAAAATCTTCATTTCAAATCCTCATCACATGGAATTCGGTGAAGTGTCTCGTCAATTCGTATCATCTTCTTTAAATGACACAATAAGTAATACTTAACATATTAATTATTACAGTTTTGGGATTATTATCTTTACGCAGATGACACTCATCTGTACTTTTATTTTTTGGAGAAATACTGTCACTGAAAATATTAGCGTACTTAATCCTGATAGATCATCAGTGATAGCAATTGTAAAAGTTTATAATTTACTCTAGATGCTTTGCTAAAAGTTAGAGAGCACGTTACAAATATAAAGCCAAACTTGACAATACTAACTAGGGTGTTAACAGTCACCGTGCAGTGAGACTCGCCGTTAACTCAGTCTGGTCCTATAACAGCGCCGCTCGCCGGTGAGTCAGTCAAAAAGCGCAACCGTACTTCCCTTCCCACTTCCATTTCAATCGGTGTCTGTTACCTCCAATTTTAATTAATTAATACCAAATTGTAGGTAACCGTACTTGGCTGTGCTGGATAGCTGACTTTCTTAGCGATTTGCTATCAAACTTCATTGGGGATATAATTTTTTCAATGTTATTGTTAGTAATGGTTAAAGTAACAAATCTACTTATTACTGCTATTATTATTGGTTAATAATATACGGGATGACAACTGAAAAGGTACAGTTTGTCTGAAATTTGTTGTCATTGCCGCATATCTCGGCCATGAGAAAAACTAGCAGCTTGCGGGTCATGTGCTAGTTTTTGTGAAGCGAACGATGCCGTGTCAACGGCAATCTCTTATCCCATTGCGTTTCTGAGCTGCAGGTTACTTTTAAAAATGCTTTTCTATGTGCGGAATCCCTTGTTTCTCCGTTAATATTTATACTATCGAAAAAATAAAAATACTGTTGTAAAGATTTAGGTAAAATCCAATGAAGTAGCTAGTTCTTCAGATTTTTTAAAAAACAGTTTTGGATTATGGTTATTTGGTTATTGGCTTTTAATTCAGGTCTGCATTCAATTTTATATTTTAATATGACTCCTTATAGTAGACCATGAAATGCAAATAAATTATTATTATTATTATTATTATTGTTATTATTATTATTATATTTAATATTTAATTATGAAATAATTATTCCATAATTTTATATATTTAACAATTAATTAGTTTTATTTTTTGCAAAACTTCTGGATTGCTCCTTCGCCGGTTTTTGCAAGTTCGACTCAGCAAAAACGGTTTTGTAAAAAGTATTACAGTAGCCTGTGGAAGTTTCTTTAAATAATTAGTTAGTTTTACTTTATTAATGTTAATCAATTAATTATTAATTAATTAATTAATTAATTAATTTTAAAATTAGTATCTGTATTATCTTAAAAAATGTATTTCTTTAAAAAAAATAGTCCAGACGTAAATCTAGATTTACAGTTAAAGAAAATGCTCAGTTTTGTTGTTGAAGTTTTGGAATAATTTTCTTGTTCTCCCTTTCCATTGATTTGGATTGGATAGGAAAATTTTTGTCTTAATATGGACGTACGATTTGAGGATTATGCGCAGAAGCTCCGTCTTGTTGGAAAAATATACTCTTTAGCTGAGATAAAAGGACTTCTTCATATATTTCTGGCGAGATATTCTCCAGTTTTTCCAGATATCTTTTTGCGGCGAGGCTAACTTCGCATATACAAAATTTTATATTCTCTATAATCAAATGCGAAATTCGACCGTATATTTTGGAACACCAACTGTAATCTCAATGTTTCTACAAGAATTTTAACTCACTATTTTACTGTTTCTTTAAAAATACACAAGTTTTGTTGTAGATTTGTTAGAAGACATTTACCAAGAGGACGTGAAAAAAACTCTTTCTGAGTTAAAAGAATATTCTGCTCCCGGACCTGATGGAATTTCCAGTAAAATCTTAAAAACATGTGCCGCTGTTCTTTCCGAGCCTATTTATATTAGTAAATCAGCTGTTACCGTTTTTGATCCACTGCCATATTATGGCTTTGTTCTTGGCAGATCAGTCATATCAAATACATTGACATGCTTGAATTTGACATTATCTCCTGCCTCAGGTGATTTGATGGATATTATTTACCTCGACTTCAGCAAATTGGTAACGCTTTTTCACCGCCACAAAACGTGCCTAGTGGTATTCCCCAGGGAGCGGTGCTGGGACCAGTGCTATTCTTAGTGTATATCGTGGATTTGCTCTCCAGCATTGATTCTCATGTGAGCGCTTATGCTGATGACACTAAATTATTTGCAAATCCTTCAGCACATGCGGACGTATTACAGAGAGATTTGAATACTATTTCTAAGTGGTGTTCAACTTGGCCATTGCCGCCGAATATTGGCAAGAAGAATCCCGGTTTGAACTATTAAATGAAAGGAAACTTTGTATCAAGTGCCGATTCTCAGATGGACCTAGGTGTGACACTAACTAATGATCTTGCGTGGTCTGTACATGTGTCAAATATTGCAAAGACAACAAACTGCGCGCTATGTCTGCTAAAAAAGACTTTTAAAAATCTCAGTCTTCGCTTGCAGACCTTTTACCACTTACATTCGGCCCATCCTGGAGTTTGCTTTCCATCTGACGTGACCCTTGTGGTCTTAAGCAATGATGAACGCCTACGTGGTCATCCATTTAAAATAAGAAGGGAACATTTCAGGACTTCACATCGCCTGCATTTTATAAGTAACAAGACTTTCGATTATTAGAACAGTTTACCAACAGATGTTGTATCTGTATTTAAACGTCGCTTGGACAGTGTATTGTTTCACAGCAATAACTATACTATATTTATCTTATATATAACTTTCTCATGTTACTAACTATCAATGTGCATAATAGGTTGTTCTCTTCACTTTATTCTTTGTAATAATAATAATAATAATTCTGTGAAAATAGACGCTCACCTCTCGATCGGTAATGCCTGATCGGTATAGACAAAGGCCTCGCATATGGACAGCTGCATAGGTGCCGGAACCTCCAAATGCACGCTGACGAACGCCCCTGGCATCGGAGGATTGCAGGGCAAAAACAACGGCTGCCCTTCTTCGAGAAATCCAGTGAATCGGTTACAAATGGGATTCGTTCCTAGATCCGGTCTGTTGTTTCCGACCCGGACTATTATGGTTGCAGGCTTATTCGCCCCTAGAATGAGAGAAGATGACGATTGAAACGAGTTGGACAGTAGCGATGTAACGGTGTTAACGAAGGGAACTATAAAAAACAAGTTAAATTGAAAAGTTGCATCGTTTCATTTAGATTTTTTAATTTTTTACATATACAGGGTGTTTAGTTTATCTGGGCAAAATACCAGCTTATCTATTGTAAATACATCCTGCATATTTTTGCATTTTTTGATTGCCTTGGAAATTCTAGATATATTTTATGTATAATGTCCCATATCCAAGTCTCGTCGTTTTCGACAAATATTAAATTTTATGTCAAAAATGACGTTTACAGGTTCTAAAATTATTAGTTTCTCCTATAAGGGTGCCTGATTTACTTAATTTTGGATAGGGGGAGTGGGGTTATTGTCGTATAATGAGTGGGCGCTTTGAATGTAATTTATATTTATATATTAAACATAAAGTAAATTATACATACATGAAGCACAAAAATGAAATTATAAAATAATGTATGTGTAACTTAATTCGATTTCTAATAAAAAATTAAATATTCGATTAATAACAGGCATGCAGACAAAATTAAATAATTCAATATCCGTTATAAAAAAAAAGTTAATTATTTTAGGGCCTGCCTTTCTTTTATCTCCTCCGTCCTAACAGTGTAACTCCGTAACACCTCCTTTTAAAGTTCTTCTCAAACTCATTTTACGTAAACTTTAATTGAATGAATTTTGTAATGCAGTTGTGGATCGTCTTTATGACAAGGACCACAAATAGAAATCCATCAATGTCAGGTTCGGCCTGTTGACTGGCCAAACATGACTTTAGGAGTAGATCTTTCATATATTGTGTTCTCAACAAAATTCAAGAGAAAAATGTCGAAGATTAGTTGACTATTTTACGATAAAACAAGCAGTGTTTATCATCTAAAGCGGAGAGAATGTAAACTATTTATTAATATTCTAATTCTATTTAAATAGAAAATATGATAATTGTGAATTAAACAAATACGTTTGAATTATGAACCTTTATTATTAAAATTTTATTTTTTGTATCATATTTTATATTGCTTTTTTGAATACTAATCACTGTTCTGATAACAGAGAGTCTTTTAAGGTTTTTTCAACTGTGACAAAGTGTTTTGCTTGAGTGAACCAAAATAGTTACTGGTTAAAAACGAACATTATATATTTAAAAATTTTAGTACTACTTTTTAAACTATTTAATATTAATCACTGTTCCGATAAGAGAGATTTTTTTAAGGTTAACTCTGACAAAGTTTTTTGCTTGATCGAATCAGTACAGTTAGTGATTTGAAATGATAATTATCTTTTAAAAAATTCTCTTTTTGTATGAGAATTCTGAACTGAAGCAAAATCTTGTATTGATTTTATGAAACATACACGCTGCATGCAGGATTCTTCTCCGTTTTATATTCAATCAATTATCACAGATTCGTGTATGACATTCGGTTTAAATCGCAAAGAGCCGTCAAATGTCAATCCAAGAATTCTACCCTGTCGGACGATCATTATATTAGTTTCTTTGACGTGTATCTCGAGAGAATGGTTATTTGATCAATTAACAATACTGGATATGTCTTTGCTGATCATATAAATGGCCAATAAATAGTTCCTTGGTGAAAAAGATATATGCATTCAGGTATTATGTGCGTTGCAATATTTCGAAGTGAGTTTTTTTTATACGTATAACAAATATAAAGGAGAGGTCGCTACTCTCTAGGGTTCTTCCTGACAAACCTATGGATTTTAGAGTTGTCATTTCAAGACGGTGATTGGTCGTATCAAATGGTTTTGTAAAGTCTAATAACACAAGATCTACAGTGATTTTGATTTTTCAAAGCTGTTTGCTTATTTGTATATTTCTAGGGGCCCTATTTCCAAAAAACGCTCTATCACGTCCTTTATAGCTCTCTATATCTTAAAAACGTTATGATATGAATATGTTTGTTCAACGTTAGGATTTTGAAATGAAATGATTTTATAGAATTGGATGTGATTTAGTAACACTGGATAATATTAGATTTTTCTGCAAAGCAACGGAGTTGTCGTAGAAGCGACCTGTTTATGCCCAGGTCCAGGTCCAGGCCAAATTTAAAAATTCCGTTTCACAACTAAGTTTCTTCCCGAAACCACTTTGATTTGACGGTAAAATATTCCTGTGTTCCAAAAATTTTCGGACCAGTTTTTCAAGGTCCCTTTCTGCTCTCAAACTCGTAATCTATTGCCGAAATGAAACGCTTAAAAAACAACAGGCCGCAAGAAATTGCACATTTACGGCGACAATATAAAACAATAAAAGTGAAAACGGTCCGTCAGAAACGAAAGAACAATAATTCTAGCTAGAAATTATTCGTCTTCCCATAACCGTTTCTGTTCGCCGCTAGAAACCGTTGAAGGCGAAAAAATTTGCGGTTTGTTCAGACTTCGTGACATCCCAAACAATTAAGATAATACTTTCGTTTGCATATAAACTGGAATGGGTGCTCAGAAAGTGTAATCATCAGCGGCACGATTTCGTCGTATCGTGAAAAATTACACGCGGTTCGGCTCTTTGTATCGGGGTCACTTAACAGTTTTTGGACGACGAGGCGTCTTTCGTAGGAACCCCAAACCACGTCAGGAACATTGGTCAAAGTCAAGAAGCACTGCAACTCCTTACAACAACAGATCCATTAGGTCTACAGGATCTACAGTCGATGTGAAAAAATGTTGATAAGGGCTAGATTTCATACAGAACCTCTACCTTAACCAAACAGCATCCTTGAGAGTGAAAATGAAACCACGCAATGTTTTCCGATAGAAAAAATTTGTAAGTCAAGAAAGCGTCCCAACAACCTCCGTTACGCTGATGATCCTGTCATCATTGCCGACAGTCGGGAAGAACAGCAACGTCTTAACGAAAAAAACAAAGGTTTTACCAACCTTGGTGAACTATGAACAGATCCAACAGTTCTTCAAGTTTAAGTATCTCGACAGCTGGGTAACCGAAGAAGAAAGAGAAAAGCAGCAAACACAGATCAGCTTTACGGCATTTTACTGGTATACAGAGCTTCCAATTAAAATATAATATAAATACTTGTTTTGCCACACTTTGTATATTAACAAATACGTATTATTAAATCTACACAATAACAACTTCTGCATGACATATTTTTTTCTAAAATGTAAAATAAAAATGATTAGAAAAAACATTTTTATAATGGATCACCCGTTACATTAAACCTTCATTAAAATCACCCTACCTTTAGTCACGCTGTAGAACATAAAAATATGTTCAAAGGTTAGCTAACCTTTTTTAAATTCAAATGCTTTTACCATAATGCTTCATGTCGAATGACGTGAATTACTCTTTAAACAATTTTACTGCAGCTATGAAGTCGAAACCAAATATTGTGAAATAAACTATAAATAAAAGGTGCTAATATTCTTCTATTATATTTTACATAGGGAAACTTTAAGAAAATTGGGTTAGTTTCTTTCCTAGAATTCGAAAATGAAAGAATAAACGGACTGCCTTATTTAAACAAACTCGATAATCAGTGGTTCTACGACTCCCTTATAAAACTTTATTTTTGAAACACCCTGTATGTTTTGTCCAAAACTGCTTAAAAATCTAGGAAAGAAAACTTAAACAAAATATACTTTATTTCTTGATTAGAATCTAAAACTCGAATGGGGAAATGCCATTTAAACTAAGCACGATGTGGCCACGTTTATATAGAAGCGGCAACACTGCATACTGAAGATGAAAATATTATAGAGACTTTCTTACATCACCCTGTATACTTCGAAGTAAAACTTTATTTATAAATAAACCCAAAAAGCAATGTGAGACTCGTCAAAAAAGAACAATGCAGGTATTTGGACAAATGACATTATACAAAATTAAACACAAATATTAAACAAAATATCACAAAATGTCAAAAATAAATACAGCAGTGATGGGGATCAAATTGCAGTTGTTGTAGTGATATGTAGTGATACTTTGTATAATTAAAGTAGTTCATATTTTGGTTCACGCAACTATTTAAAGTTTAGCATCTTTCCGGGACAATTAACGTCGAAATCATCCCAGTGCATAAAAAAGGTGGCCTCGCAGATTTAATTATCAACCAATTAGATTTCTCCCAAGTTTATCTTTTATCTCTATTGAGAAAAAAATAAAATAATAGAATTTTGCAGTTTACAGTTTATTCCCAAAATTACATCTTATCTGAAGCAATCAACAGTTACTGCAAGAACAATTCTCAATCACTTTGAAAAACGGAGAGAAAAGTTTTGCACAAAAAACTTCTTTTCTAAGAAAAATTTACTTAACTTAAACTTACACTATTTATATTGACTCATTTTCTACTGGTTGATGGTGGATGATGTTTTGAATGACGATGAAGATTAAGATTAAGCATCACTTACCGCAACATGGTTTTCCAAAGTCCAGCCTTACCAGCTGCACCATGTAGGGCTCGAGTAGATTGACGTACCACCACGGAGTTGCTTCTGATTTCGTTAAAGTACAAGTTTCTTTGTTGAAGAATGCACTGGTGCTTCCGTCGATAGCTTTCTGGGGTATACCTCCACCTTCCGTGCTCACTTGCATCGGAGCTTTTCCGGCAGCTACGTTCAACACTGGAACAGAATGAAACCATATATATGTGTAGAATTATTTTTAAAATTTCCAACATGTAATGAAGAGGACGTAGGACGCGTTTCATACATATACAGTAAACAGAAAATATACAGGTTAATACACAAGTTCCTTTTTTTAAATCCAAGAAGTTTTCTGAAAAGAAAAAATCAATCCATTAAAAATGAAAATCTCACGAATGAAATCTGTAGGTTTTCTGATTCTAGATTTTTCGGTATAGGCTCGTCCCAAGAAATCTTTGCTTGCCGAAGATTTTGAAGGGTTAAGTTTGTATTTTGCAATTGAATTTGTCCGACGCTTAAAAGTTGCCAAAACACGCTAGACCCTAGCAAAATGTCTATCGGACTGCACTGGTTAAAATTAGGATCAGCTAACTGTAAGTTGGCGGGTATGTTTATTTCTTTTCTCTCGAAGGGAGTGTTGGGAAAACTGTCTGTTATTTGTTTTAAAACTAAACAAGGTTATTATCTCGCGAACTTAATGGTAAATAAACTATTTGGTTTGCATTAGATATAGATTGACCGACGCCTTTGATTGAACAATTGACTAGTTTAGGTTGTAAATTTAATTGCATAAACAACCGCTGTCCAAAAGAGCTCGACTTTTGACATTGTTGCCGCTTGAATCTGCAACAAAAACTACTGCGGTTGATAGAAGGACCTGACTAGTAAAATTGGCAACGGTTCTGCAGCCGGCTAGGACTTGTGTCTCGGTGGACGTTGCGCCGGTGTTTTGATAATCTTTTTCATGCTGAATCGCCTTTATTGTTTGCGTTTTTTAATGGTGGTGAGTTTTCGGACCCTTGATTTTTATTGTAATGAATTAATGAATTATGTGGTCGTCCGCATTTACGACATTTTGAAAGTAAACAATTCTGAACTTGACGTGATGGTCTTAAACAATTAGTACATAAATTGCAATTTTGTACTTCCGTTAATCGTGTCTTGGGTATAAGCTGTTTTTTCTGGCTTATTAATCTCGAAATTCGCAACGACTTTTTAGAAATTTATGTAAATCGCTTATTTTTGCAATATTTTTGCTTTTTGCACTATAGCATTCCCAATCGCGCTGCGTTTTTGAATCGAAGTTATCAGTTATGATTGGAATTAATAGAGTATCCCAATGATCAGTTGGTTCACCCAGAGCCTTGAGGGCTTCTAAATTGTTTGAAATTGCGTCAAATAGGTTCCCTAGTTCTTTCGGAGATTCCTTTGTAATACGCGGAAAATCTAAAATCGCTCGTATGTGAAAATGAGTTATTAAACCATTATCTTCGAACTTTTCTTGTAGTCGGTTCCAAGCCACTTGATAATTAGCTGCAGATATCGGCATTTTTTGTATAATTTCTAAAGCTTTTTTATCTAGCGATGATCGTAAATAGTACATTTTTTGAATGTTTCATAAAGAAGGATTGGTATCGATTAGAGCCTTAAAAATGTCTCTGAACTCCACCCACTGTTCGTATTGGCCATTGAAAGTAATTAATTTAAGCGGTGGTAATTGAACTTGAATTGTAGTTTGATCGTCACTCGAAGTATTACTAGAACTTGCATTGGAGCGCACAGATTTCCTGTCACTGTCGCGTTTTTCCAATAGTATTTAAACAGGAACAAGCCAATTCGTATCATTTCGTATAACCCATTGGTAAAAGTCAAACCGAAATCAACCTGTATAGTGAAAGGCGTCCAGTGACACCCGCAGCAAAATAGTTTACCACTTAACATTGGAGTAGCGAATTCAATTACTGGAAATTACGCTTCTTGTATTTATATATTGCAATGGTAAGACAAACAGACAAGAGTCATTACCGAAAAAGGAAATGCGAATGCAACATGGAGGTCGAATGCAACAATTAAACTCCCGTTTCCTGAAAACTCCTTTCTCTTTGCGCGATTTTTTAATTAATTAATTATTACTTAATTCCGCTTTGTTGCCAATAAAACGCACTTTCACTGACTATGCATCGATCGACGTCTGTTGCTTTTGCGTTTTTATTTGTTTTATAAGCGACGGCCGAAGAAATCAACAAACTTTCGCATACATCTCCACATGTTCGAGCCCGTAGCCCCACGCAGTGAGGGCAATTCGGGAAAGTGCATTAAATCCATTGGTGCTAAGCGGTACCTTCACCTATCAACCTAACCGTTTCTATTATTGAGTTGAGTTGTAGAATGATAGGGGACATGCGCAGGTATGAAGGAAATGACACAATTTTAACAGATGTTTGACATCGGTTGGAGCGACATTGTCGACATTGCGTTTGCCATTAGAATGCAAATAATTCAAGAACCAAAAAATGTTTAGTTAGATCTAGACGATATTCTAGTTAGTTCTAACCTTGAATATCTCTTTACTATAGTCATAGACCTTTACGTATAAAATTATAAAGAAATATCATCTATTTTGCAATTGTAAATTAAAATTGTGGTGTTTAAGTGTCGGTCATATATTCACGTCACATTTTGAATCATATATTCCATTTCAAACTCTTAATCAGTGGAGTTTTACCACAACGTAGAAATTTTCCAGCACCAAATTAGCCAACAAGTGGAATTTGTTGAATGAAATAGTTTTTTTTTAGAAAAAATTGCAAACGTTTCAAAAAATTAACAAATCGCCCCCTAAAAAAATGTATCATATCATATCATATAGATAATTCTTTCAAAATTAGCATTTTATCAGGCACCACACTTAGCAGTAGTAACTTAGTAAGCTACTTTCCTTAGCGACATACTAAATTTTTGCAGGCCCATAGATCGGTTCTAAATAAAATTGTATTCCATTTTACGGTGAAACTCTTCCAAATCTCCGAATAGTATCAAGAAGTGCGCATCTAAATAATAAAAAAAAATTTGCGGATAAAATGATAAGAAGAAACATAAAGGTAATTCAGGGTGTTACAAGCATATAGTTATTTATATTAGTTATAAGTCCTTACATTTACATATTCATTACAATTTTACATATGATATTAACAATACTTTTAAGTTGTGACCCCTTTCAATTCGATAGCCACATTGCTTGATGGTATAGGACTCACTTATATGCTCAGAGAGCCAATATTTAGGAATGCATTTTAAAAAAATATTGGAATATGAGGTTTTGAAATTTCTTGAAAAGTTAAATCGTAGTTTCAGTAACACTCGGAAATCATCATCATCATCAATCATCATTGGAATTTATCAAGAGCCTTCAAATTCATATAAATTTTAGTAACATAACGAATAACAATGAAATTAATGATGATGATTAATTATTAATTTTAGATTATCGTCAATATTAGGCAAAAAAAAGAAAATATGAGGCTTTGAAATATTTTCATTGAGAAGTTTCAATAACATCTCTGTCGGAAATCATCAATCATCATTAGCATTTATTAAAAGCCTTGAAATTCATATATTCTCTTGTAATATGACGAGTAATAATGATATTATTGATGATGATGAAATATCAATTCTAAATGATGGTCAATATTAGGCATTGTATTAAAAAAAAAAATGAAAATATGAGGTTTTGAAATGTCTGAATTTCTTGAATAGTCGCCTTAAAATCGTAGTTTCAGTAACACCTCTGTCGGAAATCAACATCATCAACCTCATTATTAACATTAACATTATCAAAAGCCTTCAAATGCACATATTCTTTTGTATTATGACGAATAATAATAAAATTATTTGTGATGACGATGTGATTCATTTTAAAATAATGAAAAATGAGGTTTTGAAATTCCAGTAACACTTTTGTCGGAAATCATCATCAATCATCATTAACATACGACGAATAACAATGAATTAACAGGCATTAACCGAGAACGCACTATTGGGACACCTTGTTTATAGTAATAACACTAATATTATAGTGAATTCTACCTCCTGCAGTGGTTAAATACCCTGCTACTGCGACCACTTTTAGCAAGACCAATCATCCATGTGCGGCCGATTAAATTGGAGCAATTAACCGCCTCGGCTCAACCGACAACACCGTAAAGTTATTAGAAAGTATGATATGAAAGTGATGTCCAATTATACTTGATTTGAGCCAATTAATGAATTCATTAATTTATTAATATTACGCTTGAATTTTTAACGCTGTTGGTGGAAGCGAAAAAATTATACAACGTAACATGCAATTGAATCAGTTGCCACCAAAATGAGAAATATTTATTTGAAATATATGAATGAATAGACAATTTTATTTTTTAACTACCAACGAAAAATGACATACAAACGTTCTGGTGGAACAACAGCCTAAACAAATAAAGATTAAAGGTCTTGAAACTATACAGGCATACAAAGAGACAGGCTGATATGACAGTTCTAACAAATTATAATAGAGAACTTAGGAAGATGGAAAGAGATCCCCGGAGAAGGTTGTATGAGACACCTCACTCGGTACCAGAGTTCACAGGTTTCTCTCCACAACTCTGAAACAAGACCTCAGCGCATTTATCCAGGTCTGCCACAAAATGGACCGGACATGCCTAATCAAACTCAGAGCTATACTAGCATAGATAGCTGCGAAAAGTATTATTTTAAACCACTTAGTAACCTGATCAAGAGAATAGGCCAGTCTCTGAATATCAAAGAGTTCGCATTAGATCGCAAATAGAACCACATTGTGCAAAAGGTGATCAGGTTTAGGATAACCAGGGGTTGCCCTCAATGGACACTACTGGTGGCCGACCTAGTGATCTTATAACTGACGTTATATTTATATCTTGGCAGATACCCCATCATATTCCAAGTATACGTGATAAAGACCTGTACAAGGGTGCTGGAAAGGAAGCAGCCAGCATAGTATGGTGGTATTCTGTTTATATGATCAGATTTAGTTTGTACTTAAAATTAGAGGGAGAATTGTTTAGCTAGAGCTAGAGACAATTCAAGTGATGCTAGAGGTATATGGAAATATTATAAATAAATATATATTAAATATCGAAAAATATGTTCGATTTCGAAGAAAATACTAATGATGCTTGTGA